CTGAAGTCAAGGGGAATTCTGAGACCACATTCAAGGGCTTTATATTAGTGAAGTGAAAATGTCCACAGAGTTCAAAAGCTGACGCACTCTTACAATTGCCCTTCACTCAGACATCTAGGGCTTCGATATTCTCCAGCCACAGCAGGTAGAGCTTGTGACCAACTCTGCGGTTGTGGAATAACCGTGAAGAGTAGAATTTGATAAAATGGCCTGCTGTGGAAGGTATTTGTTGCTAACTCTAGGGAATGCTGTTCAAATATACAGGCCTGGCATGCAACAAATGTGGTAAGACCTAGCACTGGGATAACTCAATGTCCAGGAATAGCTTAACATAAATGAATGAATAAATAAATAAATGAATGCTGTTGAAAACATCTCCGTTGAAATATTACCCTGAACTCCTTTGCCTAATGGACACCACCATTTTCTCTGCCAAGAACAGGCTGATAGCGATTTTATTCCTTTTTTTTTTTTTTTTTTTTTAATGCTGCCTCAGGATATGAAGTCGTCCACTTTAGGGACAGGGAGCAAGACTAAGCACAAGATGAGAACTCCTTCTAGAGTCACTGTAGTGAGATAAAAGGAATGACAGTAATACAAAGAACAATCTGTACTCTATGCCAGGGCCAGGTTTACCCTGCAAGCAGAACAAAAAATTGCCTAGAGCAGCTAGAAATTAGAGGCAGCAAAATGTTTAGTGGGTTTATTATTATTTTAGTGACTACAGGGTAGGGGGATGTTTTCCACTTTGTACAGGGCAGCAAAAACCCTAGCGCCAGGATTATCTGCAGCCCTAACCATGGATAACTTTTTTTGTTAAAGTGAACCACTTAGCTAATCAGTCAATGCTCTCATTTGAACTAATTAGTAACAGCAATTAAATAGATAGTTTTCTTTATTGCATTTTATAGCCATATGTACTGTATCTATATCTGGACATATTTATAAATCAGATTCTTGTAAAGTACATGTTCTTTTTAAATATAGGACAACATAAAACATTATTTTAGTACTGTTAAGTTAAATATTGCAACTCTAATTGCTAATAACAATATTAATGCTATTGCCTCTGGAAGGGGGTATCCTGTGTATCCTTTTTGTTTAGATCACCTTCATTTAATTGTACCATAACTGTGTTTCTCAAATGTGGCCACCGTGGCTGCATGCCACCAGGGGCTTTTCTTGAGGCCACAGCCTCCTGGGCAGTGATGTGGGAGGGGGTCAAAGCAGTGCCCCCTCCCCTGAGGCCGCCAGCAGGGGAGACACAAATGCTGGAGGAACAGGCTCCTAGTCAGTTCCCCACCTTCCCTGTGGTGGTGGGCAACAGGCTTTGGCCCTGGGCTCACGCCCGTCCATTCTCCCTTGGCCCCCATTGCCTCCCCCAGCCCCCTATCCATTCTCCCCATTGCCTCTGGCACCCAATGCCTTCCTACCCTCCTCCCCATCCAGAGATCAATTTGTCCTTGGGCTTGCCAGGGCTGAGTAAGTGTGCTGCTGTGAAAAGTGATATTTATATGTTTGTTATTATCATTTTCACAGCAGCAGCTTACTATCTAGCAAGTCTTTAAAACAGAAACCAAAAAAGTAAAATAAACAACAAAAAAGACAAGATATGCCCTTATTTGTGTTTTCTATTCTGTTTAGGTCCAGTAAAGAACAGAGATGTGTACATTATTTTTATTATTGAGCCTGCAAAAAAATCCCAACATAAATACATTTCAATGATTTGGACAAGTATTTGCATATTTATTTGTCTTTCCTAAACTTAGTTAAAATTGTAACAGCGGCCACCAGCAAGAGTTGGTGGCCGCAATCAGAGGCCACCAAAATATTTGTTGTGAGAACCTCTGCCATGGTTTGTTTAACTGATGTTTTTGCTGGATGTCTGAGATGGTGGGGTTTATTTGTCCCTTGGTCTACTGTCTAATTTTTGTACTTTTTGTACTGGGTGTATACATGCACCCAGAAACATATGATGGGGTTTTTAGTGATATAAATATTAAACTATATTAAAATACAGCATGATTTTCAGAAAGAAGGTGGAACTTGCAGCATCACCAAAGAGAAAACCATTATCTTTGGACTTGTAAACTGAGCCAGTTTTGAGCTGAGAGGCATTGAGACAGAGTAAAACAAAGAACCACACAATTACTTTTTGACAACTGCCACACTTTAAAATTATTCAGCAACCAATCAAACGTTTTATATTAAGATAAACTTTAGCAATGGTTTCTGAGGGTTAATAGGTGTTATAAGCATATTATAGATGGCTGTAAGCCAGAGTTTAAAACAATGTATTGGTTGGTTGGATGCTATAATAATCTATAATTAATGAACCATTTATTAAAATGTCTATTAATTATTTATTAACCCTGTATAAACCATCTATAAATGGAATCTTGATATAAAGTGCAAACCAAACCAAACTATGACAAGAGCCACCACTCTATTGAATTTAGGAGCAAAAACCTATCAACTTCACTGTGAGCAAGACTGGGACCAAATGGTGTAACTGTAAGCTTTACAAGAAGGCCAACATTTTCAAAAGTGACTAGAGATTTTATTAACCAGCACTTTTGGGTGCCCAACTTGAGACACCTTAAAGGAGGCTGATTTTCAGAGGGGACAAGCTCAGCACCGTTTGAAAAGGAGGCCTTTTTAAAAGTGTCATAAGTTTCAGCCCCACATGTTTATACACCCAAAACCACTAATTACTTTTGAAAATCTTGGCCAGAGTGTGTGTGTGTGTGTGTGTGTGTGTATATATAATGTGTGTGCACACACGTATACACATTGGAAAAATAAAGATTAGGATAGGGGTGGTGGGAATTTTCAAAATCTTTCAACTAGAGATATTCTAGTTCTCCTTTTAATAGATCCACGTCAAAAAAAATATTACATCTCTGATCATTGCTTGTGCCTTGAACATCTATCTTATTTTTCCAGCAATCTCCCATGAAATCCTCCAAGACCAAAGAGACGGGTTGAATTATTAACTAGGAGAAGAAAATAGTTCTACTAAATACTATACCATCTCTGTCAATCACTGAATGATAGCAACACAAAAAAGTGAAAGAAACAAATGAAGGTGGTCACAAGAGAGTCTGATACCTCTAGACCAAGAGCGTCAATTGCATGCTCATGGTGCAATAATTACCCTATAAAGAGTGGAATTGCATGGCATATTTAAAGGCTTTATCTTCTATTCTCTTGTTTAAATGAGATTACTATTCCTCACACCCAATAAAAATAGATTTTATCAATTGCTTTTGATTTTCTAGCAAAGCAAATACAAGTTGGAAAATCTATGAAATAAACAATGATTTTTCATTTTTTATAACAGCAAACAGTTAATTCAACTTTTCAGATATGAGCAAGTCTCAAGTCTCTCTCACTATCAGTTCCTTTATCTAACCAACAGTATGTTCTAAGCCCAGGCTTGATTGGATCTCCATAGACTCTGCCTTTGCAAGCATTGAAATCTTTTGTATATGAACCACTTTGTGATATATTATGGATAGGGCCCTATCACATTCAGGGTCCATTTTGGTCAATTTCACAGGTCATTGGATTTTAAAAATTGTTAAGTTCATGATTTCAGCTATTTAAATCTGAATTTTCATGGTGTTGTAATTGTAGGGGTCCTGACCCAAAAAGGAATTAGGTGTGTGTGTGTGGGGCGAGGAGGAAGGTGGGGGTGTTGCAAGGTTATTGTAGCAGGGGGTTGCGATACAGCTACCCTTACTTCTGCACTGCTGCTGCTGGCGGCGGTGCTGCCTTCAGAGCTGGGCAGCTGGAGAGCGGCGGCTGCTGGCCGGGAGCCCAGCTCTGAAGGCAGAGCTGCGGCTAGAAGCAGTGCAGAAGTAAGGATGGCACGGTATGGTATTGACACCCTTATTTCTGCGTGTCTGTCTGCAGAGCTGCGCCCTCAGTCAGGAGCTGCCACTCTCTGGCCGCCCAGCTCTGAAGGCAGCAGCGCAGAAGTACGGGTGACATGGTATGGCATTGCCATCCTTACTTCAGCGCTGCTGCTGACGGGGCGCTGCCTTCCGAGCTGGGTACCTGGTCAACAGCCACTGGTGCTCCCTGGCCACCCAGCTCTGATGGCAGCGCAGAAATAAGGGTGGCAATTCCACAACCCCCCTAAAATAACCTTGGGACCCCCCTGCATGTCTCTTTTGGTCAGGACCCCTAATTTGAGAAACGCTGGTCTCCCCCGTGAAATCTGTACAGTATTTAGTAAAACCACACAAATGACCAGATTTCATGGGATGGGGAGGGGAAGGAGACCAGATTTCACAGTCCATAATGCATTTTTCGTGGCCGTGAATTTGGTAGGGCCCTAATTATGGAAACAATCAAATCATTAAACCACATCTAATATCTTTATAGTAATGAATTGAAGTTGCACTGGTAGATATTGTAAGTAGGAGTTTCTTGTGTAGATTTATTGTGGCAGTTACTGAAAATATGTCTATTGATATATCATAATTAAAGTGGGTTACACCAATTTATACATGCACTTTATGTTGTGGCTGTTAAATGTCTGTAAAAGATGTTTTAGCATTCAAATCATGCTTGTGGTATTCACAACGAGTAGCCCCATCACCTTCCATGAGTCTATTTCTGTGAGAGACACAGGCATGATATTTTCTTTGACACTGGATTTGATATTTTGCATATCTATAACTTGTTATCATGAACTGATGCTATAGACCTGATCCAAAGCCCACTTAAATAATTGAAAATGCTCCCTTTGGCTTTAGCAGGCATTGCATAGGCTCCATATGCAAATGTTGGGGAACAGGAGAAAATATATGCTCCCAAGAAGTAACTAAATGTTTTCTGGACTCTTTCTTTAAGGTGCCACTGAAAGTATCGTGCTCGATTCTCATGCAGATTCTAATTGATTTTGGTCTTTAAAAAAGATCCTTGTGCATGAGTTTTTTAAAAATACAATTTCAAGAAAAACCGCACAGAATGGTAACAATTTCACAAACCTTGATTCCTAGCTCTATGTTCTCTCCTCCATATACATCCATTCCAGGATCCAGAAGACCTATTTCTCCAAAGAACTTCCTGTTTACAACAAACGAACAGCCAATCATAGCAGGTGTCCTGCAGGAAGAGAAAAAAAACAATAGAAACAGCATCATCAGCAATGCAAAAATTATTAGTTGTCATTTTTCTTTTTCTTTTTTTAAAGGACTATAGGTTTATTTAATCAATGGAAGTTACCAAATACCTAAAATAAGGCCTGATCCTGATGCCATTGGAGTCTTTGGAAAACTCCTATTGACTTCAGTGGGGCCAACAGCTTCACAGTAGTAAGCACTATGCTTATAGAATTGGAGCATTATTTGGGAGATATTATTTTGCCACTGAAGTAAGACTGCACAAAATTCAACTGCCTAAATACGTTAAAGGGAGGAAGGAGAGTTCTGTGGTTACGGCACTGAACTTAAGAGAGCTGGGTTCAATTCTTGGCTCAGCCACAGACTTCCTGGGTGACCTTGGGCAAGTCACTTAATCTCTCTGTGCCTCAGTTCCCCACTAGCAGAGTAGGAATAATACTACTACCTTTCACTCCCCCTTTTTTCTCTTGTCTATTTAGAACATAAGCTCTCCAGGACAGCAATTGGTTGGGTTTTTTTGCTATGTATCTGCACAATGCCTAATCAAATGGCGCCCTGATCGTGGGTGGGATCTGCAGGGTGATGTCAATTATAACAACAATATAATTCCAGAGAAGGAAATATGCCTCACTAATGAATAACAACGACAATCATGTGGCTGAATCAAATTCATTAATAACATTGGACAAATATTCACACAATATTTTGTTGCATAATTTTCCCAGCTCTACCAATAGTCAGAGTTACTCTCAAGTGGGTGGGTGCGAAAGATTTGACTCCAGAATGCTGCAAAAGTTCTTGCTCTCTAATTGATGAAGCAAAATTATTACTCTCATCCTGTGGATGGCCAGCCAAGCTCACGGTATCCATTAAGAGAACAGGATTAAGAAAAATGAGAGTGTGTCAGGTGCTGGCATTAACATATGCACAAAAAGATAATAGAAGAAATATGGTCCCACTGGATATATTCTTAAGAACTATAAAACATTAAGGGCATTCATAGGTAGGTGTATTTACTGCTGGTGCCAGTTTTCTTTCTTTCTTCTTCAATAACTAGGATAGAACAACTGTAAATATTGTTTGAAAACATTGGGGCAGATCTTCAGCTGGTACAGATGGTTCACTGGAAACAAGGGAGCTATTCTGATTTATGCCAACTGAGGATCTGACCCATTATTTTGGCATGGTTGAACAGAACCCCATCCCTAAAATTATGATTTACCACACAGCATGTGGCTTAAAACAATTAGATTTTTATGCTCTTGCTACTTTGGGGTTTGCAAATCTGTTGTGGTTGTGGTATATGGAAAGTTGAATTCTCTGGGGTATTTTCCACTGTAAAATGGAATAATAAAAGACACTCCCCCTCCCTCCCCATCTAATCTAGACTCTTATCCTAGCTGTAGAAGCAAAGCCTGAACCCCTCATGGATATCAGCAAGGAAAAAAAATCAAATATACCTGTAGTATTTAGGGGTGCAGAAGAGTCACCAAAGCACCTCAGTCTTAAATTATTCCCATACACAAACAGAGTTCTGTCCCCAATATCCTTTGAAATCAGGAAATAAGCCTAGTATTTAAGAGGTGGTATTGTCCTCACTAGGGTGAAATTCACCCTTGAACAGAGGGACAGCACAAGCCTACGCAGCAGTTAAGCCCATGACTAAGCAAATAGGCCTTGGGTTGCACAGGGAAGAATTTCACCCCTTAATGCAAATTCTGTCATATATGATCATTAGAAAACTCACTGTATTTCCCCATAAGCACATGTTGTTTCCTATAAGGCAGTCTGGTCTTGTGGTAGAAGCCAGGCAGCAGGAGTCAGGAAGTCTGGCTTCTATTCCTGGCTTGACCACTGATATGCTGGGTCATACTTAACAAACATGCTTTAAATGAGGCAAGTCACAGAAAATCCCTGTGCCTTGGTTTCCCAATCTATAAAGTTGCTATTTACAGTACTTCTCTACCATGTCTAGGGCCAGACAGTGAGACTCAGGTTGGGTTGTACCTTACACCATGAGTCATCCTATGGGAGTCAATGGGAGGCAAATACTACGCTATCTGAGTAAAGGTATCACTCGTTGACTCATAGATGGTATGAGGCCTAATTCATTTTTGTGAATTATCTGAGATCCTTGGATGAAAGGTGATATGTATTAAGTGCAGATCATTTCTATTATTTATAGTCATTATAAAATTTAACAGAATCACAGAACAATTGGCGTGTTAAATTAGTTAATATAGGAACTATCAATAATCTACCTTAAATAGACTCTTTTTCAGACAGCTATCTGACCCTTAGTTTCAATAAGCACTACAATACTTCATGGCTTGTTCTACTCTAGTACTTAAGAATTCAATTTCATTGCTTTAGTTGTGGCAAGATTACTACATTAGCAGAAACAATTCATTTTGAAACGATAACCACGTTAGAGATGCCAACATCTAATAGCTCTATTATCCTGGATTAGCATCAGGAATTAAACAAAAGGAAAAGTCACACTCTTTCTGTCACAGAATGTGCACAACCTCTTTTCTCTTTTGTCTTCTGACCTGGGAAGCTGGCATGGACACTTTGAGTCTGTCTACACAGCAACTAGATTCCCGCGGCTGGCCTGGGCCAACAGACTTGGGCTCACGCTATGGGTCTGTTTCATTGCTGTGTAGACTTCCGGGTGAGCCTCTTGCCTTGCAGGGTTGTAGAGCCCGGCCTCATCCCGAGCCCAGAAATCTGCACAGCAATGAAACAGTCCTCATCCTGAGCCCGGTGAGCCTGAGTTGACGGGCACGGGCCAGCTGCAGGTGTCTAGTTGCTGTGTAGATGTACCCTTTGGGATCTAGTTATGGGAGCTCTGGGGCCTTTTGCTTCTACATCAAATTTAGTTTAGGTCATTAGTGACAGAAAGATACTAATTAGTTCTGGTCAAAAATTTTCCAGTGAAACTTTTTATCAATGGAAAATGGCGTTGTTTACAAAACAACATTTTTGACAAAAAACTGAAAGCCTGATAACTGAAATATCTGGATTCTGAAATGCTGCTGCAGTGACTCGTGGGATAGTTCGGATACCTCATACTCTCCTTCTCCTCTATGGGCAGGGCTGACCAACTGGACTTCATGATGCACCGCCTTCCCATACCAAGAGGAGAAAACACGGTGCATCATGGGAGATGCAGTCCGACGAAGGAGCACGGCCTATGGAGGAGAACAGGGGCATGAGGCACATGAACTACAACTCCCCTGAAGCACCAAGTTAGCTTTACAAACTCAAAATATTTTATTTTTTGGTTAAAATACTTTTAACCAAAAAAAAATCAATTTTTTCCCAGAAGAAAACCCCCAGTTTTCTAACCAGCTCTAATACTAAAATCTCATCACGAGTGGCTTGAGTGAAATCAGCTGGTGGCCACAGACCAGTTCTTAGTGAACAGTGGCCCATGTGCACACCCCCTCCCGCACAAATTGTTATCCTTTTTAACAGCCAAATATTTTAAGGACTAAGGCTCTGATCCCGCTAATACTCATGTGCTTAACTTAATGTACTGTGAGTAGTTCCACTGAAATCAGTGGGAGTATTCGCAGTGCACAACATTAAACATCCATGCACATCTTTGCAGGACCAAATCCAATGCTTCCTGAAGTTAGTGGGCAGTCTTTCCAATGACTTTATTGGATCAAGCCATAAAGGTCCAACCTAAGCATCCAATAAAGTCAATGGGAGTCTTTCCACTGATCTTTCTGAGCATTAGATCAGACCTTAAATGAACATTAAAACTGAAATTATCCTCTCATCCCTGCTAATGGCCACTCCCTCCAAAGCCAGCTGAGACTCAGAAACAGTGATGAAGCTGTCAGCACTGCTTTGTGTGCATGTTTCCTGGATATACAACAGAAAACATGTCCTTTTAGAAGCTCTGTCTGTGAATAATCTGACAGATTTTATAATTTCACCTCCAAATTTTGCTCAGCTATATCATGCTGCATATTAATTTCCGACCCAATGATATAGTTAACATGCAAAACGAGCAAATGCAGCATTCCTGAGCTCCCTTAAGCAATACAAATTAAGTGCTACATTCTTCTTCATAACAATGGTTCCTTATCAAATAAATGAGGGCTCATGCGGCACACTGGAATTTAAATGCAAACTACATTAGATTTAACAGCAAATCCTTCAAAAAAGGTCGACATTTAGAACAACAGAAGCCCTATCCACAATGAAATAATAGCCCGAGGAGACTGGATGATAAAGCCCTTCATTTTCCCTACCCCTTAATTAAAAGCATTAGCACCGTTTGTTTTGAAAACACACAGACCAACTTGCACTCAGTGCATTTTTTATCTGTCCCGATGATAGCTAATTTTTCTTTAATGTGCAGCAAAAAGTAGAATTTGGCAGAAAGAATATTAACAGAGATGATTCATATTTAGTGGAATTATTGGCCTTATATCCTGAATTCCATGGCTTGTTAGTTTCTTGCTATTATTTCACTTGGCTCTTATACATAAATAAGAGACAAAAGATCAAAAAAAGCTGGCTGAACGATCCTCAGTATGAATCTCTAAATACAGATAAATAAGACAGAGGCAAACATTTATCCTAGTCTATTAAGTGACTTTAATATTCTTCCTTTCTCTGGTTCACAGTTATACTCTAGACTTCTAAACCAGTCTCTTGAACTGAAGAGGAAATAGAGCCTAGTGAGCTCTCCTGTACAATTAGCACTAGACTTAAAGTACAAGTTACAATACGTATATAGCAAGTAAGGGGTTTTGGTTGGGTTTGTGTTTTTTTAAATTTTCATGTCCATACAAGTAAAGGCTGACAGTGTAAGAAACCACAATGGGCATGGTCAGAGCCATGGCAATCACATCGAGTGGGCAGAGCAGGGGGTGTCAGAGCTGGAATCAGGAGCCCAGAGTGGGGCTGGAACAAGGCCTGAGCAAGAACAAGGCCGGAGCAGGACTAGAAACGAGGCTGAAG